ACCTGGCATCGAACTTGGGACCTTGCACTTGTGAGGCAGGTGGCAGAACCACTGAGTGAAATCCCTGGCTCCTTTTTGCTCTTATTTTTAATTTTTAATTTTTATTTTTTTCTACTCTTTTCAAATTTTTTTCTCCTCTTTTTTTCTTTCTTTTCTCTTTTCTTTCTCTCACTCATTCTCTCTCACATTGGAGATGTCATCCCACATTGGAGATGACACAGAAAGACTTTAAACTCCACCTCCCACACACAACATGGAGACTCTGATACCTTCTCCAAAGTCTTCTCCCTCTCAGGCAAGAGAAAAATGGGGCATTTTATGACTCTGTGTTGGAAAATATCCCTAAAAACCAAGCCCCAAATGTACTTCTAAGATTGCTGTTTCTAAGAGTTCAACCTTCTGTTCTTTTCAGGGTATTTTGATTCATGAAAAAAAAATATTCAGTACAACCTATTTTTAAAAAACTCTCTCAGGGACTGGGCATTTAGCTCAGTGGCATTGCACCTGCCTCACAAGCACAAGGTCCTGAGTTTGATCCCTGGTACTGCAAAAAAAAAACAGAACAAAAAAATACATATTAGAAAAAAACCTCTCAGTTGAATAATCCACTGAGAGCAAACAGGACAAACACATTTTCTTGTCGCTTTTTCAAGCCACTTGCCAGTTCCTAGGGTTTTTAATTCTATGTGCAATCAGATGCATGCATATCTGATTCAGGGACTCTTCTGCCCACTAAAATTAGTAATAAAATGTTGCAAAAAGAAAGAGCCAATTACAGTATACATACTCACGCTGTGAACCTGTTAACCTAAAACAATTCTTGACTCTGAAAATTTTAAGCATTAGGAATACTTGGCATTCTTTGGAGTTATAACATCATCCAAGAAAACTTCTATATGGACAAGCAAAATCACTCTCTGCTTTGTGCCATAGGCTGCTCTCTAACTAGTATCCCTGCTTTCATTTCTATGTATAATGCAAGAGATTGCTTTCTGATAGAAGCCTAATTCAATTTAGATGTTTGGTAGGGAAGTGATTGATTTTCTATAAATATATGATATAAAAACAAAACAAAACACATTGTTCTTCATCTCCGTTTTTGTTCCTATTCAGGCCTTAATTTGGATTTCTTCTTTATTTTTCTTTTCTTCTCTTTTTCCTTCTCTCGACTGTAAAGTAAATACAGTTTCTAGCCTCCCTATTGCTGTTAGGTTGTTCTGTTCTCATCTTTGTTCTTTCATTCTGGTTTTTCCTCTTGTCTCAACAGTTTCTTGGAGTGTGATCTTCCTGTGTCCTCTGGCCTCACTTCTAACCTTTCCCTATCCTTCTACCTATCTATCCCTCCCTCCCCAGCTCCTTCTAACTCCCCATCCTGAAGGGTAAAGTTGCTATAATGAAGAGTTTATTCACTATAAACATATGTTGGGGTGGTCCTTGATTTTGATTTAATTTACACAGTTAAAGGTGATAGATTAAAAACTACCACAAATTGTCATTTTCTGAGCTGTGCTTGATGCTATGGTGTTGCTGATTGTATCACTTGGGCTAAGGTGTTGTGACTGATCTAATCAGTTGTCCTTCCTGGTATAATGAAAATGAGATAGCCTTAGAGTCATTAATGACTCAAACCTAAAGACCAGCTATACCTGGAAGACACCTCTGAGAAGCAATCATTTCATAATCATTTCTAAATACAAGCAACAAAGATACTTCCAATAAGCAATTCCAAAGTATTAACCCAGGAATTAAACCAAGGACAGTACCAAAAACAAAAATGAGAAGACATTTAAGCAAGGCAGAAACTCAAGACTTCCACCCCACCAAAGGCAAATTCTGGGGGAAACGAGGTGGAAAAGTCTGATAATCAACCACCTGGACACCCTGAACTGATAGCACAGGAAGTAACAAAACAGATGAATGAGCTGCTAGAAAAATTCAAAACAGAAATAATTTCCCAGATAAGACCAGAGATGGTGAGCAGAGTGAAAGACATGATTAGAGGCTCTAGAACAGAAACAGATTTAAAAAAAAGATGAGCTCAGAAACATGCTGGAAGCCATGAATGCCCAGCATAAGAAAGAAATGGAAACCACGACAGCCTAACATAAGAAAGAAATGGAATCCATGAAACAGATTCAAACAGATATCCAAGATATTAAAAACTCCACTGAAAGTATTCACAGCAGATTATGGGAATGTGAAGATAGAATACCAGATATAGAAGGCAGGATTGCAGTTAATGACCATAAAAACAGAGATTTCTTAAAAATAGTAAGAGAGGCCATGAGAAATCAATCCAGCAGCTGCTAGATGATGCAAAGA